AAGTCCTCATTAACCTTTTCCTCTCTTTTCCTCCCCATTTTGTACCCGCTGCCTCCTCCCAGGACATCAAAGGCACCTTCATCAGGTCAGTGATTCCTGGCAGAATCTCTGTGGGAGACAGACGGGAATTTRGGGATCATTTGGGATATCTGGGGCAGGAGGAAGCCCCCACCCCAGCAGCTGAATCTGAATTTCCCTTTTTTTTTAAATCCCGTTCCAGGTGTGAGAACATCAAATTCCAGGAGCCTGAGATGGTGCCGGTGGATGTGGGGAAGAAGTTCCGGAATTGTTTCCTGCAGGATGTGGTGATGAGGAAAATGGAAAAAGTTTTCAGCAAAGTGCCCCAAGGTGGGAGGGGGGGACGGGAGGGAGATGTGGGATCACAGGAGTGAAAATTGGGGGTTAAAGGAGAGGGAATTGGGGGCCAAACGGGTGAAATTTCAGCGTTAAAGGAGTGAAAATTCTGGGGTTTAAGGGGTGGAAGTTGGGATTAAAAGGATGGAAATTGGGGGTTAATGGGGTGAAAATTTGGAAGGTGAAAGAGTGGAAATTCTGTGTTAAAGGGCAGCAAATCATAGCTCCAGCCCTCCGTGTGCCCCAACTCCCCCTCCAAACCCTTCAAACCCCGCTCCTGCAGACCCAGCCTTCCAAAGCCTTCCTTAATCCCCCTTCAAACCCTGCTCCTCCAGACCTGACCCTCCAAAGCCCCTCTTAAACCCCGTCCCAACCCTCCAGAGCCCCTCTTAAACCTCGTCCCAACCCCACTCCTGCAGACCCAGCCCTCCAAAGCCCCTCTTAAACCCTGTCCCAGCCCTCCAAAGCCCCTCTTAAACCCCGCTCCTGCAGCCCCAGCCCTCCAAAGCCCCTCCTAAACCCCGTCCCAACCGTCCAAAGCCCCTCCTAAACCCCGTCCCAACCCCGCAGCCGACGTGACCCTGGACCCCTCGACGGCGCACCCGCGCCTCAGTCTGTCCCTGGACCGGCGCAGTGTCCGTCTGTCCGAGCGGCGCCCGGAGGCCGCGGGCAGCGCCCGGCGCTCGGACGGCGATCTCTGCGTGCTGGGAGCCCCCGGCTTCAGCGCCGGCCGCCACTACTGGGAGGTGGAGGTGGGCGGCCGGCGCGGGTGGGCGGTGGGAGCCGCCCGCGAGAGCGCCCGGCACCGGCACAAGGAAGCGTCCGGCGGYTCCTCCCCGGCGCCCAAGAGGGAGATTTGGGCCGTGGGCACCAGCGGGAAAAAGTACCAGGCGCTGACGGCCACGGAGCAGACGGCGCTGGCGCCCGGGGAGCAGCCGCGGCGTTTCGGGGTCTACCTGGACTACGAGCGGGGCCAGCTGTGCTTCTACAACGCCGAGAGCATGAGCCACATCCACACCTTCCACATCTGCTGCCGCGAGCGCGTCTTCCCCTTCTTCCGCATCCTGGCCAAGGGCACCCGCATCAAGATCTGCACCTGACGGGCCCCGGGGGCTGCGGGGGGAAGGAGGGTGTTGGACTCGGCTTCTCGCACCTTGTGAGGCTCCTTCCTCCTCCTCCTCCTCCTCCTCCTCCTCCTCCCGCTGCTGCTCTGCCCGCGCCAGGAGCGGAGCTGGCTCAGCTCGGGATGGGGAGGCCCCTTGGGATTGAGTTTGGGTTTGAACAGGGCAGGATCTGCCTGGTTTCAGTTGGAATGGGGCAGGA